TGCCAGATTCTTTTTCTTTATCTTTTACTGCATTTACCCAGTATTTTATATATTTTTTGTTTGTAGTATATATTAAAAATTTTCTTTTTCTTTTTATAAGATTTGTTTCTATAATTTCCAATATTACAGCTTCTTTTTTTTGTTCAGTTAAGCAAATTTCTAAGTTTTCAACTTATAGTCTTTAGTTTATTGCTGTTATGACATGCTATTTTAATTTCTTTTTTTCCTTCTTTTCACTTTTCTTTAACTTTTTGTGCTTACTTTTTATGTCTTTTATATTTTTTTTCCTTTTTTACATGTTTTTTTTTCCTTTTTTACATCTTTTTTTTTATAAATTAGAAGATATTTTTTTTTTCAAAAACTCTTTTTTCACTTCACAAAAAGTTACCAATCTCTTCATCTGTATTTATAATTTTAACTGTGACATCCTTAGGAGCAAATAGCCAAACTACTACTTATACTTAGTTGCATTTTTTTTATTCTGTCTAGTTTGTTTAAAATTTGATATAAGACATTTTTTACTTGTATTGAACCTGTTTGATCTTGCAGAACTGCTTTGGTTTTCTTTTTTTTTAAAGTATTGTCTTTTATTATATTAAGATTTTTGTCTTTTAACTATTTTTCTATATTTTGTTTTTTTTTTTTTTTATTTTTTTTTTTAAAATATTAAGGTGAGTACTTGCGACCCAGGATTTTATTGATAGTACATTCAGCTAATAGTTGCATTACAACCACAGGGAGCAACTATAGAAAGAGTGTACAACTAGCCACTTGTACAACTTTAGTCATTGTCTAATTTAAGTAGTCTGCCCAAAGGTTCTACACTAGCTGCCATACCTGAAACCCACTTGTAGATTCCCTATTTAACTACTCTGTTCTTGTATCTATCCATCTACCTACACCTACCAAGATGCCCTGGTCAATACCAGTTCAAATATGACATGGTCACTAAGTCTTTAAAGCAGTTCACTCACATAGTAAACCTTTGACCTTGTACTAAACCTTCCAGAATTTTCTGTATCCTATTCTTACAGCTGACCTAGTATTGCTATGATCGAGACCAATACTGGCAGTCAGAGTGTACCATTAAACTGCTATGCTCTTGTAGAGTTCACCCCAACCCTGGTACTGACTTTACAACATATCCTTACTACTTTAGTATTCAATTCAAGTTCTACCAAGCTGCCATTCCAAATAGTCTGGAAAGGTAGGTCGAAACCATACACCTCTGGTTCACATGTTTGCCAGTATATGCTCTTTTCTTCTGGAACCCAGAAATTCTGGCGGCCTGGTTGGTTTATCTGGTTCCTCCTTAAAGACCAGCACATTTGCCCAGTTTCACAAGTTCTAGTTCTGTTTCATAAGTCTAGTCTTTACAGTAGCACTGTCGAAGGTTCAGGTTACCTCTTTATTTAGATCTTCCAAGTGGGCTTCCATCTTTCTACCTGGTTCCCTTAATTTATACAGCCTAAGGACTTATCTTGAGTTTACACCACCTGGTACCAGTTTGTGTTCTCTCATACAACATTGTACAAGTGCCTTAGACCTTCCAGTCATGCTGGTATGACATGGGTTACAGGTATCCTATCCTAACCAATCACAGAAGACAGTTAGCTATAACACAGAAAGAATTGCAAATTTTCATTATTACTGGGATTTGAACTCTAGACCTGCCACTTGGAGGTTAATAACCTATCCACTTCACTAGGTCACCACACCCTTTTATGAATATATTTAGAATGTGCTGAAATCCTTTAATAATAAGAATAGATTTGTTAAGAAGTGAATGTGTATTATTTTCTAAAAAAGCATATAAGATGTTTTTATTTTGATAAATAATACAAGTATATGTATAGTAAGAATATATTTGGATTTGAGGAGTTTGTTTTGAACTAGATAAAGTTTTTTGTTGAGTTGTAGAATAGTTTAAAGGGAATGATAATGGAGGAATAGTAGTTGTTTTTATAATTTGTAATTGAGAAATAATTTCTTTAAGTTATTTGACTTGTTTAGATATAATATCAATATTCATATATGTGAATTTTTAGAAAGAAGAAGAAGAGGTTACTTGTCTGGATAGAATATTAAGATTATTGGAAATAAAGAGAGTATGGAATTTTTGACAATAATAGTAGACAATGGTAGATTGAATAGGAGTTTTAAAATAGTAAAGAGATTTAGCAATATTGTATTCAAATGAATTAAATACAAATGACATTACTTTAAGTTATTTAGATTACATTTCTCAAATCATTATATTATAATGATCATTATATTTATTATGGAAATAGTCAAGATCAAAATGATCTGGCTTTTGGAAAGTCAAAGTAGGCATTCTATTTAATAGAGAAAGAGAAATACTATAGGTATATTTAAGGATAAAAGTTAATATTACTTAATAAAATTTTTTGTTATGAGTTATTGAAATCTTTAATATATAAGATTTATAATAGTGAGAGTTGGCTTAATAGGGATATAATGTAATATTGTGGCTACTGCAGCTACTGCAACTTTGTATAATCTTAAGAACAATTTTATATAATCTATATAGTACAAAGTATAGCTGGTCTGACAAGTATGACTTAATGTAACAATTTAGTTACACATCTCAAAAAAGCCTTGTAATAGTATACAAAGTCAAATTAGTAAAAGAAGAAAAACTAATAAAAAATTATATGTTATTTTAAGTAATATTAATTGGTTTACTATGAAAATGATTGTAGTAATGATTTATATTACACAAAAATCATGTAAGAGAAAAAAAGTTATAGATAAATGAAAAAGAATTTTTTAAGAAGTTTGCAAGAGAGTTAAAGCTATTTTTAAGGTATTTCCATTAATATTAGGCCTATTGAGTTTATTTAGACCTTGTTTTAATTAAGAAATGAGCTCTACAACTTTTCTTAAGACTATAGAGTAGGCTGTAAAACTAGTTATTGAGAAATAATTAAAAAAAAAGTTTAGAGGTCCAAAGACTGTTATTACAGTATTAAATTGCGAGTTTGAGAGTTATCTCTTTAAAACTTCATAATATATATAAAATTAGTAGCTGAACAAGTTTATTTAAGACACCAAAGTTAGTTATCTTAATCAAATAACCAGATATTAACAATTTTAATACTGATAAATTTTTAGTTATTTTTGTATAAAAATGATTTATGAAAAGAGTTTTTGTATTTATTTTATTAATCTAGTGATTTATAATTATTTAGATTTTTGTATTCTATTATGTAATTGTTTAATGTTTTTATCATGTTACATTTATATTTTATTAGACATATTAATAGCTGATATATCTTATCAATTATTTTTTTTGACATCTTTATTAATTATAAGAGATATTCTAGTTTTGAAATTATTATTGTATCATTTATATATACTATTTAGTTTATTATAATTTTTTTTATATTTTAGATCTTTTATTATTTAGCTAACTATTTTTTTTATTTTTTTATAAACTAATGATTTTTTTATTTTACTATTTAATCAAATTCTTAATAATTTTTTTTTTGTTATTAAGTAATATATAATTAACTATATATATAACTTTTTTATATTATTTATTTAAGAAATCTGTCTAAAGATTTTCTAATAATTGTTATACTTAACACTTTTATTTAAATATTTTATTTTAAATTTTTTTGAATTTATAACTTGTATTAATATTATTGAATTATACTTAAATCATTGTTTCAATCTTAAAACTATTTTATTCTTAAAGTAAATTTCTTGAAACCTTCTATATTTATTTTTACAGTTAATCTAATATTACTATAATAAAACCAATACTTGCAATTAAAACTAATCATTAAACTACTATGCCTTTGTAAAATTTACTCAAATCCTAACATCTATTTCACAGCATATCTCTAGTATTTTAGTATATCTCTACTTGTTTTTCAGACTTCCAATCCAAATAACCTAATAGAACTATGATCAGTCCATTAGTATATTAAGTTAACCTAATATCCTTTTTTTCTAGTTCATAAATGCACTTATCAAAAAGAAGTGCACTTATAAAGAATCCAATTATGATGAGTAATCTAACTGCAATATATTATTGCGGAATGGTCAGAGAGATAAAATTGCGTAAATGTGCGTTAATGGAGAAGGGTTGATTGTACGTACTTCACAATAAAAAAATTTTTTTATCAACTCATTCAGCTTAGTTTTTTTTTATTGTTTATATTAAATAGACGCAATAACAATCAAATATACCAATATGGTTAAATATTTAAACATTTACTAATTTTAATACTTACCCAATTGGGAAGAGTACATTATTTTAAAACAATTAGTAATCTTTGTCTCAGCAACGTATTCCAATGGGTTGGATCGCCTTTTCTTTTTTTTTTTTTTTAAGCAAAAATAAGATTATTTCGCACAGCCACTGCCGATCAAAATTTTAGGTATCATTGTCAATTAAAGGGGCATATAAATTTTATTACAAAAGCAGATATTAGCCAGATTTGGACTATTCGGATTCTAGGCTTTAAAAAACAAGAAACATAAAAAATGTCTATATATATATATAAATGTATATATATAAAATAAATTAATAACTTAAATATTGATATTAAATGTATATACGTATTAAATAAAGAACTTAATCGTCAAATTTAACGGCATTTTTTTTTGTTTTTGTTTTTTTTTTCTTTTTTTATCAAGTATATTTAGCATTTCATCCAAATTGTAGAAACAAAGAAACAAACACCAGGGACAAACACATAAAACAAATTTTCTGGGCAAAGCCTTATTGATTAGTAAACAGAGAGGAACATTAACAGGAACCGGTAGGTCGATGAAGGAGAGGAAGCTATTCAAAATCCATTTTAATCTTCATTCCCAAAATGTAATTTACTTACTACACACCCTCGCGGTTTCTATTAACAACTTTCGGCCGCCTATGGCTAAACGCCCTTTTCACACTTCATATAAATAAGTTATATTACAAAGTATGAACTTGATAAAAATTATGAAATGAATTAATTATTTATTTTTTACTTTGCTGTCGCCGGCTGGGCATTTGATGCTGGGACGTTTAGAATGGATTTTCTTAATTCAGTAAAGAAATCGTTGCCATTTGCCATTAAATGTGCTGCCCCCAAAAAAAAAATTTATCAAGACTCATTGATGTCTGAAAAGGAGTTTTGCCGATAAAAAAAAAAAAAAAAAGAAAAAAAAACCAACATAATTTTACCTTTTTTACCCCAAACAAGTTTATTATCCCAAGCACTTTCTGTTGGAGGTTTGTATGTATCGGGTTTATCTAATGAAAATAATTCGTTCAAAAATCCCTTTATTATAATTCTATTATTAATATTAATATAACTGGTTGGGAGTAAAAAAACTTACCAGAAGCAGAACTATTGTGATATCGATCCATCGCTTCGTGATAGCCTATTTTAAGAGTTTCATAATTTTTAAAATAAAATCATAATTATTATAAAAATCAACGAAAGCATCACTTACCATTATTTAAAAATGAAGAAACTTCTGCAGAATTAAAGTTATTTACTGGTACATGTTTTGGAACCGGCCTCGAACTAGGCAAAGCTGGGCCAGAAGAAAATGATACGTTGGAAGTCGTAGAGCCAACAGGCGTTGGAGTAGCTGGTGAGGTTACTGTACCTGAAGCCAATGGCGCGGTAGAGTGAAGATCTTTATTTTTACCCGCTATAGTTTTTTTGGGGAAATTAATATTAGTCGAAAACTCCAAAAAGATAAAAGTATGCATTAGCTGAATTTACCAAGGGAATTTTTTCTTTTGGGATTAAAATCTCCTCGTCTATCTGTTTGTTTTTTAAAACTAGAAAACCATAAAAAAAAAGACATGCAAAAATAAGTATTAATATTTTATAAAATTATCTAAAAAACAAATAAACCAAGTCGTGGTAAGGGATTAAACATACTGTTGCCTTTCTTCTTCCCGAGTGCCAGCCATGTTTTTATTGTAAGTAGGGTGTGCAAAATTTAAGAAAAAGGAGGTGAAAAACAATTAGAGCGTTGAAAGGAAGTGTAAAACAGTGAATTTAAGAATTACAAGATATTAAAAACTTCGGGTTGGTTTTATTTAACACCAGAAGAAATTAAAACAATGTAAGAATAATAGTTTCTTTGTTAGCTTTATATTTATATAATAAAAAATTTTGATTGGTCATTTTATGTACATTTACACGCTACACACGTGACCCAAACGTATATAAAAAGATATTGAATATTACAGTATATATCGATATTAGGATTGTCTGTCTGACCAAAACCCAACTTCGTATTTAAAAAAAAAAAACCGCAACTCAAATTTATTTAATTTGAATTTACTAATTCCCGCGTTATACTACATTTATATTATCCTTTTTATAACGTACTTTAGCTTTATACTCCTCTCTTTAAGCCGAAATACTAAAACGTTTATTATAGAAAGTCCCGAATAAATTTTGAATCATATTAATGAAATCTGAAAATGTTAGATATACATGTTAATAAAAATTAATAATAATAATAATAATAATAAAATGTTAATAATAACGTTGACAGTAAAAATAATGTTGATAAACCAACTAACCAATGAAATGGTGGATTGTTAAGTGAGAGATCATCAATTCCCTGCCCTGGATATGAATACATAAAATTTTCCATAATATGCATTATGCTATCCAAGGGACTAGGTTCTACCGTTGTTGGGTATGGAACGAATTCACAATCTGGACATAGCCATTGGCCCGAAGGTTGCTTCGTAAGACCCACGCATTCCCAATGGTACCATCCCGTTACGCACTAAAGTTTGATAACGAACGATTAATATAAGAGAACAACATTGATATGTTATTTGCTTGTGTCAAACGCATTAAGAAAATATACATACACTAGGATGATCGCATTGAATCATTTGACCGAATTCAGGCTATTGTTGTAATTCATTTATGAATAAATAAACTAACGGAACATAAAAAAAATCACAATATTTTAAGATTCACAAGGAACAATGAAACTCACTCGTTTGCATATACAATATACAAGTTCGTTGGGATCAAAGTCACCATCGTCACTATTAATTACACTACGAATTAAACGCGCAAATTGATCACGAGTGAAAGACAATGTGAAATTAAAAGATTATTACCCTGTAAAATTTTAAACGATATATATAATATTATTAGACATGCAATTATAACGATTTGGAAACAGATTTGTATAAATGCAAACCTTCTAAATGTATATTATTACGGGCCAATTCTTCATCTAATCTCTCAAAATGCCTAGAGAGCTAATATAAAAAAAAAAAGATAAAAAATTTAACATTACAATGCACTACTAGATTATTTGTGATGGAAATATGAGGATTCAACTCACTAAATTATATAATTTATCAGCGACGGCAATTTTTTCATCTTGTTTTTGCATAGCGTCTTCATAAGCTTTCTGCAATGTTTGACAAATGAAGCAAAATTAATTTTGAATATTAATTACTAAGCCACTATATCACAGCATAACACGACTGTGCCACCGCATGCCACGTGCTAGATTCACAATTATTTTTAGTCAAATATTTCGTCAGAGAACTTAGTTTGCTTTCTTCCTTCTCGGTGAAAATTATATGCCCTTTTTTAATTCTATAAACTTTATTAATTTACCACATACCTCTGCCATACTTCTCCAATAGCTAGAGCCTCTGTCGTTTTCATCTATGTGATCAGAATCCACACAGGCGAAGTATTTGTCCTGACATTCGTTGCAAATCGCACGTAACTCTGGTAAATAATATAAATGTGTGGGTAATATACTGGTTTTAGGTTTATTTATAACAGTAATAACTCAAAAAAAATATTTGATATAATGTTATATACATAACGCGAAAACCAATATATATATAATATATATGTAAAAAGAGATGCTCACTTTCACACTGTTCGTCTAAAAGTCGTAACTCGTTCAGATTATGAACAACTTCTGCCTTCAGGTTGTAAATGGCTTTATTGAGAAATAAAAAATACATAAATTATTTAAAAGTGAATATAAATACCAGTATGGTTTGATCAGTGTAAAGAGCAAAAAAAAAAAAAAAAAAAAAAAAAAAAAAGGAAAAAAAAAAAAAAAAACACACAAACTAAATAGACGTCTAGAACTTCAAGGGGTGATTTTAATTCAATTAAACTATCTTG